ATTTCATCAACTCTAAAGTGTACTTTTCAATACTATAGAATGCACTATTTAATATTATGGAGTGCACTTTTTAATAATACAATGTGCAACCTCACTGTTTTAATGAATTTTTATTTTAAATGTGATGACATTTTTGTAAATTTGATCAAGTTTAAAGTGCACATTTCAACACTATAGAGTGCACTTTTAATACTATGGGGTGCAGTTTTTAACAATATAACATAATGTGCATTTCTGGATAATTAAGAGAATTTTACAAAGTGCACTTTGGTTTTATTTGATGTTTTTATTTTAATTCTGGTTTAGGGGTTCACTTTTTCAATAAAAATATTCTACATCATCAATTAAAAATGGAACGGAAATTAGGTAAAAATATCACTACTGCATCTGACATTTTAATTGACTAAAAAACAGAATAATTAGCTGAAAATGAATCTGATATTACTAATTAACTGAAAATATAAAAGGAAATGAATAGTAATAATTAACTGCAAATAAAAAATGATCTATAATTGACTAATATGAAAAAAATTTGTCACATCATTGCATTTTAATTAAAAATGGAAAGAAAATTTAAAATTACACGGAAATATTTCAATAATACTAAATATTCTACATTATCAATAGTAAATGTGTATTTTAAACAATAGTAAAGGTAAATTAAAAATAGAATGAAAATATTTCAATACAAATATTCTACATCATCAATTAAAATTAGAACGGAAATTAGGTAAAAATATCACTGCATCTAATATTCTATTTAACTAATTGACTGATAATAAAAAAGAATAATTGGTTGAAAATGAATATGATATTACTAATTGATTGAAAATATACACATATCACTAATTGACTGATATTCTACCATTATATATTTTCACCCGAGTCACCCATCCTGATGGACTAGAGGTGTTAGCTCTAGACGAAGATGGACAAGATTGTGTTGCTACTACCAATGTTGTCTACAAAGAGGTTTCAATAATGTGTAAATACAATTGGTGATATTATATTTTTGTAAATGACAAAATTGCTATATATCTAGACAAAAAATATATTTTCCATACAAATGAATTAGGATATCAATTCATTCTTATAACTGAGTTGCTAGAGAACGAGCACATTTGCCTAATTTATAAAAATACTAAACAATGATAAATAAAATCTCCAAAATTACAGCACCACATGCGTACATCTACACATTAGTTACTAATTTGAGCAATTATTTGCTCAAATTCGAGCAATGATAACATAAAAACACATAAACGATCCAAACCATACCTTCAATTGCACTATATAATATTTGATGTTCTAATTTAAATAATTATATATCGATCCAAATATTCTTAATATATTACAACAAATCCATTACGTGCATCGCACGTGCGGAAATACTAGTAGTACTAAAAAAAAAAAAAAAGAACTATTTATCAAATTCATATTTTCAAAGGTAGTTTAAAATTTTCTAAAATGAGAGAAATTATTTTTAGACATTTTATAAAGTTTTCAAAAATTTATGGACAAAAATATTTCTCCAATGGAAAAAAAATCTAATTGTTGAGAATTTCCATATACGAAAATGTCACGCAAGAGCTTACGTCATTCATAGCTATTGATGTTCTAATTTAAATAATTTTATATCGATCCAAATATTCTTAATATATTATAACAAATCCATTCCGTGCATCGCACGTGCGAAAATACTAGTAGTACTAAAAAAAAAAAAGAACTATTTATCAAATTCATATTTGCAAGGGTAGTTTAAAATTTTCTAAAATGAGAGAAATCATTTTTAGACTTTTTATAAAGTTTTCAAAAATTTATGGACAAAAATATTTCTCCAATGGAAAAAAATCTGATTGTTGAGAATTTTCATATATGAAAATTTCACGCAAGAGCTTACGTCATTCAGAGCTATTGATGTTCTAATTTAAATAATTTTATATCGATCCAAATATTCTTAATATATTACAACAAATCCATTCCGTGCATCGCACGTGCAAAAATACTAGTAGTACTAAAAAAAAACTATTTACCAAATTCATATTTGCAAAGGTAGTTTAAAATTTTCTAAAATGAGAGAAATCGTTTTTAGACTTTTTATAAAGTTTTCAAAAATTTATGGACAAAAATATTTCTCCAATGGAAAAAAATCTTGAGAATTTTCATATACGAAAATGTCACGCAAGAGCTTACGTCATTCAGAGCTATTGATGTTCTAATTTAAATAATTATATATATATATATATCCAAATATTCTTAATATATTACAACAAATCCATTTCGTGCATCGCACGCGCAAAAATACTAGTACTAAAAAAAAAAAAAACTATTTATCAAATTCATATTTGCAAAGGTAGTTTAAAATTTTCTCAAATGAGATAAATCGTTTTTAGACATTTTTTATAAAGTTTTCAAAAATTTATGGACAAAAATATTTCTCCAATGGAAAAAAATCTGATTGTTGAGAATTTTCATATACGAAAATGTACTTATCTATTACTTTGTTACGTTTTTCTTGGCGAGATTCGAGAAAAACCTTTTATATATATAGTTGGATTCCTTGTTTGGTTGTTTGAAATATTTGTGTTTTACTTGTGCAGGAAAATGAGGTAGAAGAAAAGTGTGAAAAGCAAGAAACAAAATGTGACTTAGAGGTTGAGAGAGGTAAGAAGGATTGCAGCTCCCTTAGGCCTTTTGAGAGTGAGGGGGAACTTTTAAGGCATGCAGTTCAATATAAATTAGATTACATTCAATTAGTGAATATGTATGTTGAAGTGATAGAAAGAGAAACTCATATTAACCAACAAATTGCATCACTTGAAAAGAGGCTTATAGAACTTAAGGAAGCAAGAATCAATCTTCGAATTGAGAGACAAAATCTTGAAGCCAAACCCATTTTCAGAAATGCAAAATGACTTTCGAAGATATGTGCATCTGAAATATTATGGATGCACTAAATTGTGGAGAGATATGCTTCTCGAGACACACCTGTTAAATGAAAATATGGTTGCTCTCGATAGAAGATAAATGTGGAGTAAATGTTTATAGTTGTTGGCTCGATTTAAATTTGTTGTCGTCTTTAGAACTGTACCTTAAATTGTAGTAAATAAGTCTATTTAATACCACGTTGTCCAGGCTTCTTTCTTGTATGACTTTAGGGGTCACGTGACTGCGTTGCCATTAATAATATGATTCTTTTGCTTAAAAAAGTAAGTCTATCTAATAATTAATGCAATTGAAATTCTTTGACATTAAAAATAGTTATACAACCATCTTTGACAATTGTGCATTTGTGCAGTAAATGTTGAGTATATTTTAGTATAGAGATTTAATTTATGTCGTGTAATCTAGCTAGGGATTGTATTGAGTTAGAAGAATTCAATTCGAGATTGATTGCATTCACTACTTAATATAATATATTATTGCAATCTGAAAAGTATTGACAGTTGAATAATCTTAGGTTTTTGAATAAAAAATATGTGAAGTGAATTGAAGGATATATATATCTCAATAATATATAAATCTCTAGTATGTAAAATAAGCTTCACATTATACACAAGTCACACCTTGAGAACACCAGAAATTTTCCGATCCCAATTCTCTTTACTTATCTCTTCAAAAACAACATTAACAGTGCACCAAAAAAAAAAAAAAAACATTAACAATTTGTGAAGATAAAATGTACAAGAAAAATAATCTTTATTGAACGCATGTCACCATTTCCTCCCTAAGATCATAAAGTTTTTTGGTAACCAAACACTCTTATATATTCTATCAACCAAGAAAAAAAAAACATAAACACTAAATATTAATTCCAAATAACAAATAATAATAATAATAATAATAATAATAATAATAATAATAATAATAATAATATACTCCGTAATAAATATTGTCTAAATTGTAGTAATCCTCTCATTGACATATTTTGTGGAATATGACCCACTAAGTAATTATTTAACCTTTATAATATAATAAATTATACGGAGTAATAAATAGGGTTACAATTATATTGTGTGAGACCGTTTCACATATTCTTATTCGTGAGATGGGTTGAATCGACATGCAAATGTCATACTTATATGCGCAAATATCATACTTATAAGGAAAAATGTAATACTTTTGCATTTTGATGTAAAAGTATTATATTTTTTTTTAAAATATTTTTTCTTCATTTATGGATAAATATTAATCTTTTATCAAATTCTTATTTGAAAAGATGTTTTAAATTTTTTTTAAAAGTATTATATTTTCTCTTATAAGTAACAAACAATTGTCAACAGTATTTATTAGGAAAAATATAATACTTTTGATAGAAAATATAATACTTTTATATCAAAATGTAACAATATTACATTTTTCATCAAAAGTATTACATTTTAATTTTCAAGTAAGAGACATTTTATTTCTTATTAGTATTACATTTGAGTATTTAATTAAGTATGACATTTACATGTTGATCCGACCTGTCTCACGAATAAGGATCCGTGAAATGATTTCACACAAGTGTGACCCTTGTTAAAATTAAGAGATTGAGAAACTTGGCAAGTGACAAATAGTCACCACTCAAAAACAAAATAGGTGAAAAAATACGAAAAACAAAACAAAACAAACAAACCAAAAAAGAGAGAGAAAATAGAGAATATAGTATAATAAAAAATTACAATAAATTACAGAATATCTATTATAGTTAACATTGGGAAATGTAGAGATTGAAATGGATTCTCAAATTGTTTTTAATGCTTTACATTCTCCTTTTAATTCTTCTTTTGGACTGATAATTGATGATATTAAAGAATTAGTATTCACGGTTGGTGGTGTTGAATTCTTTTTTGTTAAGCGATCTACAAATTGTACCGCCCATATTGTTGCTCAGGAGGCCTTTTCCGAGTCAAGGTGCGGGGAGTGATTTGATACACCCCATCTTTTCTTGTAAGTTGTCTTACTCGTGATTTAATGAATTAATTCTTCCTTCTCAAAAAAAAAAAAAAAATAATAAATAAAATATGACTAGGGTATCCAATTATGCAAACACATCATCCCACCTCATACAACATTTATACCCTTATCACATAGTTCCCAAAAGAAGCACACACCACTTCCAAACTATTGAAACATGAATAAATGCTATTCTGCTGGCCATTGAACAGAAAAATGGTATATCCTATTGATACATAAAAAGTAAATTATATCTTTTTATGCTTCAGTTATTGAACTACCAGGGAATCACTAAGCAAAATAATGACAGTGAGAAGCTTTAATATGGCTGTCTCACTTGATGCAACTTCAACAACGTTTAATCTATATTTAACACTAATTACCAGTTTCTGCAAATCCTTGGCCGCCACCGTTGAAATGGAAGATTTTATACGGCTCCCATAAAATAGAAAAATCTGAAAACAAGATGCTTTTCAGGGCAAAAAAAAACCTTGATTTACAAAGAAAACTGATAAAAAGATACAAAACAGTGATGTCTAAAATCAGCAATATATAATCTAGTCGATATATAATTTAGTATATAATATGGCCGAGTCGGCACTAGTTGGGCGGCCAGGGACACCTAACGCCGCCTAGGCAGCCGAGTATAATAATAATACTGTGTAGCCACCCTAAACCCTAAAAAAAAAAAAAAAAAAAAACATTCGGCCGAGTTGGGCACCATCTAGATTGAGTTAGGCGCCGAGTTGGCCAAGTCAGGCACCTAGTTGGCCAGCCGACTAAAAGGCGCCTAGGGCTGAAATCCCCTCAGCCTAGGAGTGTTTAGCGCCTAATCGGCGCTTAGGCGACCGCCTAAACCGATTTTTACAACACTGATCTTTTAACTTTTCTAAATAATACTGTATTCTTCACTAAGGTTCCAAAAAAATGTCCGTGTAGAGTGTAAACAAATAGATGGAGTTATGCCATGCATATCAGGATGGATAATTGGATATATACCAGTGCATTCCACAATTCACTGAGGATCAGATGATCGAATTCCATGGCGCTTGAAAAACTCTCTAAATCCATATGCACTGAGATCATAGTTGAACTGGAAAATTGAAAAGGGAAAATTAGACAAGAAAATAAGTGTTAATCAGAACAATAGCATTAGTAACCCAAAATATAGAATCACATAAAACCTTAACCCGCTAAACTCTTCTAAAGTCATGCATTTGATTGTCACATACTGGCCACAAAACGAAATGAGTAATAACACATTAGGAAGAAGGAAATATGCTGCACACACATGAAACTAGTACAAACATAATAAAGTTATGAGAACTTTGTAGATATATTTCAATCTTCTGCTTATCCACTCTTCAGAACAAAGCAAAACACAGACATGAAGTCTAGCTAATAAGATAGGAACTACTCATGAGTAGCGTATTTTTTCTAGAGCACACTGCTGCCCAAAGAGGTGATCGTTTCACTCTTTAGAATTCTCTCTAATTCACTCTTATCCTGCCATTTGGGTTGGGGAATTTTAGTCAGTTCACTAATAGGCATTCATGTTTTGTTAGCAGCAAAGTAGTTTGGCACACAAAGCATAATACTGCAAAGTATCTTGTTATACTAAACCCTAAAACGAAGATTGAAACTTACCGGTAAAACTTTTACAGAGTATCTTGTTATATTTGGATCTGCAGCCTTACCCTGATTAAGTGCCTGGCACACACACACACACAAAAAAAAGTATTATCAACTATTAGCAAATATCTTGACCTCGCCTTGAAAGTCTCCTTAATAGGCAACGCCCGAGCTCGCCTCACCCATTTCAGGCGAGGTGAGCTTGTTAGGCGCCCAGTCTCCACCAACCAGATGCCTAGGCGACGCCTTAACAACACTGATACGCTCCAGCTTAAGTGGGAGTGTTGAATAATAAAAACCCTAGACCTATTCCAATACAAATGAGATTGGCTCACTGCCTGTATAAATATAGAACCTTTGTATAGTTCAATTCAATACATAAATTATAAATATAATCGATCTTTATTCTTTCACACATATTATCAGCTTATGTTAACAATAGATATTGAATGTTTAACCTACGGGTCAATTTGCTTTCTTAGGAAGATTTTATGCAATTATTACACTTTCGTCAAAGCTTGTGACTCTTTCATTTGCAATTGTCACTTTCATTTGGCCATATCATGTCTGTTGCTTATTATTGCATGATCCTTGTGTAACTCTAAAGGTTTCCAATGCAGGTATACAACTTGGAATTCATTAGTACAAGTTTTTTCTGTAACTTAGATTTCTACCATGCAACCTTCTTAAGTATAGCAAATAGCAGTATAGCCATCCAATCCACATATGTCAACAAGCTAGAAATGTTTGATGAATCCACAAACCACAATCACTACTAATGTCATCTTATATATATACATATATAGCAAGGAAAATAAAGTAATTTTCATCAAATTGTGACGAAGTATCCAACAAAGAATGTCAAGTCAAACGTACTTGTTCTGGGCTATGAAATATCTCTACAAAAGGATATTCCTTCCTTTGCCGTGTTATGCAAAACCCAGGATACTTTGGGCACTCAACCTAAATTCCAACAGAAGACCAAAATGTTAAGAAATTCAACAAAGTTAAGGCATGCTAGAAAACTTGAGTACTAATGCTAATTTTTTAAATATTAGACATGAGAAAGTCAGAGATTAGAGGAGTAGTGGCAGGCTGAAGAAAAACCTAAAAAATTAAATGTTGGAAAGAAAATTTTTAGAAGAACAAGAACCATAGATACAGTTGTTGAATGTCATCATTGTAAAAAAACAAAAACATTTCTACTTAAAGGTCTACAGGAAGATCAAGTGAATTAAGGGGGCAATAGGTCACACCCATGTGGGAGGAGAGAAGGAGAGAGAGAGCAAATAGTAGCAGTGCTATGGATATGAATGTCTCTAGCCTCCCATTGCTTATTGTTTGGGTTTTAATTTTTGAATCTTTTTGTTGCGTTTCCTAGCTAGTGCGTATAAATCGGACCTTGTACAGCTTCATTCAATATATAGAAAAACATGAGTTCATCTGTTTTACACTTATAAAAAGTAAAAACCCACTTACACGTAAAAAATTTACATTCGGATAAAACTCAGCTGCAGCTTCCTCCAATACTTTGTCAAGATGTCTTGTATAGTTACCCCTATGAAAAAAAAATGTATATATAAACACACACATTATTTAAAATTTCAATATGTATATATATATATATATATATATATATATATATATATATATATATATATATATATATATATATATATATATATATATATATATATATATATATATATATATATATATATATATATATATATAAGATTTGGGATTTAGCAATAACAATGATAAACTAGAGAAAAAAAGGGATGGGAAGAATCAACTTGGAATTACTTGATAGTGAATGCAACAACCACAGGATGTCCTTGATGAAGAAGCTGGACAAACTCCCGCTCTGAGGTAAAGTGAATAACCTTTGATGGTCCAAGATCCTTCGGGTAGCCAGTGTAGTACCTTTAATTTAATAAATACATTTAAGTTACTTAGGACTAATTAATTGGACTGTGACGTCATAATGAAATATGAATACACAGTCAGTATAAACTTTCCAATTCATATTAATTCAAGTGAAGTTGACAAATTATAAGCAAATTAACTCCCTAGGCCATGCTTATCACATTAAAACTGCTACCAATAGAAAGTTAATACAACCAAGTTTTTTATACTAGACTAGAAAAGAATGAAAATCCACTGCACACAAGGTAGAACATGCTGAATCAGAAGATAATATGAAAAAAATCTGCATTTTGCAAATAAAGAATAAATGCTATACTTCTTGTTTATATGCCCATAAGCTAATATTTTACACTAAAATGTTTCTATGGCAACTTCACATGTATGCACATCAAGATTGAAGAAAACAAGAAAAAAAAAAAAACACCAGGTAATGTAATTGGAATCTGAAAGGCATACTCACTTGCAAGTAGCACGAAGATTTATCATCAATTTACTGAAAAGGGTTTGCTCCTCCATTACACTGAAAGTAAAAGGCAAAACAGAAATAGAGAAGAAGCATATGAATAGAAAGCACATAATTACTTGAATCATAAAATGACAAAAAGCAGGCTGCAGCAGTTTGTTTTTTACTGCATGGTTGACCACATATAACAACTAAAGCCATGCACAAAATCTGAAATACAATCTTTTAAGTCTATTCTTATCTGATTGAAGATATAGAAAGATACACTTACTGTAGAGATTATTCATGAATCACGATTTCACTTGCAAAGAAGTAAAAAACAATTAACTATGTAAGTGTGAGCACAGTGCTAATTGATGTACATCCTGACACCTTACTTTGCAAGAGATGACTGGACATGAGGTGGTCAACTACATAGGAACACACTCTACTCGGTTAAAAGATTACTTCCATAGTTACACTGTATTTCTTACATAATACAGCCAGTTTCTCCACCCACTCCAATAAGAGTAGTCACACGTAAATGCTCAAACTGTACCCTTTTAAATTTAAAAATTTTCACCAATATTAAGCTAGCTACATTAAAGTTCTTAATTTGATATTTAGATAGTAAAAGTTGCAACATGAAAACACCTTAGATCACCAAGCAAAAGAATAATAGAGACAAATCAAAAGGCTTCATTTAATTATGAAAAAAATCATATCAGAAAGGAAGTGTAATTTTGACCTCTAAGTCATTTCATGCATTTGGTATGCCCATTTCAGGCCCTTCTTTTTTCTTTTTTTTTTTTCTTTTTTTCTTTTTTTCTATACTACATGGAATGTATATTTTCTTGGAAGAATAACAAATTTACACTATATTTCGTCAAATTAACTTAACATATTTAATAAAAAAAATATCAGTTCATTTCCAAAATTGGTTTCTTGCCTTTCCACCTTACCAAACATACCTAGAATTATAATTTTTCTTGAAAAGAAAATAACCCCAACACCATTATTAACTTTAAGCATCCCAACAAAATAATGTCACACAATCAGTACAGATTGCGGAACTCCCTTAACCCTCCTACACTCCAATTTTCTTTTCCCTTTGTTTTTCCTTCAATGAACGTGCAGCTCTATATAATTGCCACTTCCTCCCCCACTCTATCTCTCTTTACCCGTTAGTTTGTGAATCCAAGTCTTTCGTCGAACAGTTGGTGGGCACAAAATAACTGCAGATTATACAATATCCTAAATGTGTGGGCACAAGAAACTGAATTACTTACCTGAGAGTAACAGAACTCGGCTTATTTTGCTTCACAATAACGCAGCCAAACCGGGAAGCGAGGCCAAATGAGAAAGGAAAATTGGAGAAGAAGCTTATTCTAGTTCTAAGACGCAATATATGCTCTCGGAAACGCAGGGGTTTTGCAACTACAAAATCATTTAACAACTAATTAGATTAACTATTGATATATAAACTAATTAGATTAACCAATAAAAAAAAAGTAATTAGATTAACCAATGATATATAAAAATTGACAAAAGTTTGTGAGAGATTGCCTTACGAATCTTTGTCCGATTTGTAATAACTGGGTGGGTAAGTATCACAATTTCAATTATAAATATTACAATATTTATCATTAGTAAAAATCAATTTTATCTTAAATAATTCACAATTTCACATATAAATATTATATTATTTATCATAAATAACAATTTATTTTCATTTATAATTGGCATTAAATTTGTTACAATAAGTACTGCAATTTCTTTTACAAGTAGCATTTCACATCTAAGTATTATAATATTTAAAACATTAAAATTACACTTTGTAAGTATCATAATTTCAATTATAAATATTACAATATTTATCATTAGTCATTTTACCTTGAATAGTATCACAATTTTATATATAAATATTACAATATCTATTATAAATAACAATTTATTTATTTCAAATTGATACTAAAGTTTTGTATATTCATAAAAATTATATTTTAGGATTAAAAAATTTGAAGTGCTTACAATTTACAAATATGTGCTGTTTATGAACCTGACAACATATTAAGTGGTTAGGCCAACAGATACACAGGAAGAACTCAATTTTACTTAAATTTTCAAGTTAATTTTTGCAAATTCAATATGAAATCCTGTAGCACTTCGAAATTAGTTTAAAAGTTTATGTAATAATAACCAAATAGTATCAAATAATTGACTGCACTACCAAAAGACAGTAGATGCAAATTGATTATGAAAAGGGATGATCAAAGTTCGATATGGACCAATAGGTTTGAATCGAATCGGACATTGTAATAACTGAATTAAAATTGAAACATAAGAACAGTTTTGCTTATGGTTCATAATTGAAACTCAAAAAGTTCTGGTTTCAGTTTATTAAAGTTGAGAATCGGTTAGTTTCGGTTCCAAATTGAGAAAAAAATAAAATAAAATAGTATCCATACTATTGTAAATTTTATCCATAAAAAAGAATAAAATTCAAATCAACAATTTAAACTAGAATTAATTCCAATTCTAATTTATTATTTTTCAAAACTATGAATCAACGATTTAGAACCAACTAGAACTGTGGTCATATCTAACGACTTCTACTTACTACTAACAAAGCGCAAAGAACAAACACATAAATGAAGTGTTGAAACGAGTGGCTCTTATTTCACAGTAGCTATAAAATAGTTACATTTTCATAGCACCAAAACATACAATCACCCAATTGCTACCAGTTCTGCAAAAGAAACAATATAATGCTCATTACTGAGACTTGATACATCACCATTTGTACAAAAGCTAGAAGGTGATCCCAGAAAAAACCAACTTATTTCCACCAAAACTTGTGCAGACTCTGAGTGTTATGATGCCTAACACAGGCTCTTGAAGAAAAACCGCGTTACAGAAATATAACAGAAAAAAAAAAAAGCGGGCAAAGGAATAAAGGTTTAGTAGCGCAGCCAGTATGTCCTGCGTCTAAACCAGTTGTAATCGGGTAAGTAGCCCTGAATCGCTCCCCTTGCTGCAATTGCAATTTCCTGTAATGGTAAAACGTTAATCTTCAAGATTTTCACGCCATAGAGAACAAATAACAAAACTTTTTGCAAATGCACTATCGCAGCAGAGACATTTTCTTCGGGTGCAAAAATGCTTGTTTGTAATCAATCATGATCATTCCAGATTCCGGACCTAATGGCTAATGCACCCCAAGTTTCTAAAGCCAGCTATAATCACTGGCACTTAACTACAAAGTAGTGACAGAAACACAGGTCTGAGAGGCCTTGTGGGCTTACCCGGTCAAAAATAAAACGGTTGGCAACTCTTTTTATGGTGCTGGCATCCACAGCATCAATCCTGGCAAATAACTCAGCATATGGAATTCTTCGGCCATAGGTTATTAACTGCACAAAAATCACCAGAAATGTAAGTAAACACACAACTTTGTGACACAAGTCACACAACAAAGCATTAAGAAAAAAAATGGGATGTGCAGCAACCAGAAAAAAAAAAAAAAAAAAAAAAAAAAAAAAAAAAAAAAAAAAAAAAAAAGGTTCTTATATGCCAAAGCAATTGGCTCGATCAACTACAGGAAGATGTAGAGGTTCTCTGAGACAAACATGTTGCCAGAATACTTCCACTAGCATCTATAAATCTAATACTGTGACTACCACATTATTGAGTACCTGATGTCCGATTTCTTCAGCAGTAGCACTTGATCCATTAATTTGGAGTATCAAGGAAGATTTTAGCTGCAAAAGACACAGTTATTGCATGGGGGACAGATAACAGCAACAAAAGAAAGAAGTTAACAGACTAATCAGTGATAAGAACCTGATTACGAGCACGAATAACATCAGCTTCAGATACTCGGTAGCATAACTTGCATATCTCATACATTATTGAATAAGCTAAGTCATCCAAGCAATCAGGCTAGCAAAGCACAAAATCCAAAAGTAAGTTCCCTTCATGTGAATCCATCACATATTCACAAGTCATCAGCACTAAGAAACATATATCACCCTTCACTCTTTTGCAAGCCACTTATTGTGGAAGTATGGAATTATGATCAGCAGAGAAAGATGTGCATGAAGCTAAAGAAAGTTTGAAGCTACATCAAAATGTACAAGGAAAAGTAACATCTTATAGGAAGTAAAACAGAACCAAATAAATATAAGGAATGTGTTATTTTCCTATTCTCATTTTTTTCCGAAGTATTTATTAGCTCTAGAAGTATTAAATTAGATACTAGAGTTTACCAACTTATACAAAAACTGTAAAGCTTAGTATTGTTTATTCACAAATGAAAACTTGATCAAGATAAATATAAGAGATTGTAATGGTACACCAAGAACACGCACACAAACTGATTAGAAAATGGGAATAAGCAACTCATTTTCATAATTGGAAAACTAGGTTTAAAGCAGAATATTATCTTTGTTCTTTGAAGACCATAAACATACCATTTCCTTAGATTGCACTCACCTTGGCTTCAGCATAGACGCCAAAAAGCCCCGTGTCTTTATAGTTGATGTTAAAACCCGTCACACTCTCACCTATCTCATTAATGGCCACTCTTTGTACAAGCGCTGAACTGTTAACATACAATATACCAGTGCAATTAGAATAATAGTTAAGCCACACAAAACCACAAAGTGAAAACAAAATATAAATTTCTCAGTAATGTCTCAATACTTTTTTCTTTGTTTTCCAATTTTTTGATTACATATTATGGGGGATGAGGGAGATAGAATTCAAACCTATGAATAATTCCATATATTTAAATGTGTTCAAGCATAATTGAAAGCATAAGTTGTTGGTGATAATACGTATTTATTATTTTATAGTTATCCTCAACACCTTACTACTCTAGCAAAAGAGCAAAAATATGTGGCTGCTTTTAGCAATAAGAAAGACCAACCCCATGTGCTTCCCCCCTCCACAGCTTTTGTTCCATGAACCAAACATTTGTTGCAAGACCATCAAAGCAGTGGAATCAGGGTCTGTCCATGATGCTCCGTTGAAGGCAACCGCAAATTGAGCAAGAGGCAGATCATCAATAATTCGAACCTATTATTACAAAATAATACAGCATGTCAAAGGTCAAGAATACATGATATTGAATATGCAGATCATAATTCTTCTAGGTATCTAGCACACCTCTGAACCAGTGAATATTGATGGGTTATTTGCAACCAACTGAGGCGTGGTAACAGGATTAGCAGATAGTTTGGTGAAAAACTTCTTCACTTGTTCAACAAAATCCTCATGTTTAACAGCTCCAGCAGCAGAAATCACCTAAAGCAAATATGGTATGTATGAAGCACAGCAAGATTCACAAAGAACATAGGAAACATACAGACAAGAAGAAAACAATATTCCAATACCATTCTATGCGCTGCATAATGGGTTGAAATGTAATTCTGAATGTCCTCCTTCGAAATTTTCTTTATGTTCTCGGCAGATCCAATAACAGTTCTACCCAAAGGAGTGTACTGGAATGCAGTTGCATGTAACTGGTCACAAATGATTTTCTTGGGATCTGTTTCTCCCTACATGAAAAATTCTTCAAAAAATCACATCGAGGCTAGTCGAGATCTAAAACAATTTCCCTTTGTCCACAAAAAGGAAACATAAAGTAATGAATGCTGAAATACTGTCTTAGATATTTCTGGAAAAAAAAAAAAAAAAACATGCACTTGATTGCATAACAGAACTCGATCTTCAACCATCACAAGAATCCAACATGGGAGTAATAGCTTGTTTAATTGGTGTAGAGTTAAATTTGGGAATCCTATTTAAAAATGTAAGCCAATCTAGTGGAGAAACAATAACGTAAAAAATAGAATTTTGTTAGCATTAAAGAGCCAGTTCGAAATTCATGTTCTTTCCCTCCAATGAACCAGCTTGAACTCATGGATCCTTCTTCCCTTATACAGAGTAATTTTGTATTCAAGTCATTTTAAGGCGACAATTAATAGTATAATCCAGTTCCTCCATAATCATTTCAATCTCGATAAACGTACAAGAGACTGACTGCAGTTTAAAAATGAAGCAAAAACAAACCATTCGTATTTCGTACCTCTTCCATTTCTCGGAGAATCACTTTGCGCTCATGATTAATCTTCTCATCCTCGAACTTCGGGTTCTGCACTATGTCAGATAGAAGTTGGAGCGCCCTGGTCACGTCCTTGCTCTGGACTTTGGCACAGTACGTGGTCATTTCCCTAGAAGTGGAACCACTAATGTGCCCTCCCATGTTCTCAACCTCCTCCTCAACGGCCTTGGGTAGCCGCTTCTCGGTCCCTTTGAAGATCAAATGCTCGAGAAAATGCGCCACGCCGTTGTTGTCATCAGTCTCGAACCGAGACCCGGCGTCGATCGACACACCTATGGCTGCGGTCTTCGCGGCGAGATTAGACTCGGTGGCCACACGTAAGCCGTTAGGGAGAGTGGTGACTTTAGTCTCCGGGACGGAGAGGATCGAGGTGTGATCGGTTTGAATCGGGTGGGGGGAATTGTGCTGGAGGAACCTCGGGTCGGGTGTCTCGAGTTTCCTGAGCTTGGATTTCACCCGCTCGGCTAAGCGATCGTAGATCATGAGGTCCGGAGGAGGTGGGGAGGGTGGTGCCGGAGCTTCCGCAGCCTGAGCTAACTGGGAGGCGAAACGCGTGGGTTGAGTCAGGCATGGCGCAGTCAGGTGCCGAGAGCGGCGCGTGAAAGAAAAGAGGTGGCGCGTTGTCATTCCTCCGTTGTTCCAATTCGAGCTGTTTTTTCAGTTGAGCGACGGAGATGAGAATGGAGAAGAAGATGATGATTGAATCGAGCTAACAGCTTTTTGGAGAAGAATTTTCCGATTGACCAGTTTACACGTGCCACGTGTTAGTTACTAATATAAATACTAAAATATCCTTGGTCAAAATTTGTGCCTAGTAAAATGGGTGAAACTTTCTTCCTATTTTACAAGGGAATATATATACCGGAAAATTTATATTACAAATATTTACAAATATAGATATAAAAATTAAAATATATAAGTATTTATACGAATATTAGTAAATTTTGACTGTGATAAATAAAAAGTTTGTTTTGTTTTGATATTTAGGAGGTAAAAAATTTATAGAGAAAGTTTAGAAGTTAAGGATAAAAAGTTTATTAAAAGAATAAAAATTAAAATATACAAGTATTTTCTTGAATATTATTAACCATAAACTATATAGTAAATTTTGATACTATTGAAATAATAATGATATATCATTTTTATTGCCTTAAAAATTGAGATTAAAATGCAAAAAGGTGAGTTAGTTAAATCCAAATAAAATTTTGAGAAAATGACACTTTTTTGCCTGGATTATATGATTCTAGCATATTTTTCTTCTGAATTATTCATGTAATCATTTTAGCCCCCTTAATTATTTTAAAAATGGCGATCCCCCTTCCCCCTCCCCCCCCCCCCCCCCCCCCCGCCGGATATATTAAATGAACATTTATACCTTTAAAATAAACATTTTATTTATTTTTTCTTCTCCAATAAATTATTGCTTATACATTGGGATGATTACGATTCGGTTCGAACTGAACCGGACACTATAGCAATCGAATCGAAAGTTTCCGGTTATGATTTAGAACCAAAATTTAATATTTGGGTTTCAGTTCATTAAAATCATGAATCAAAAAAATTGAAAATCCTGAACCGTGCGTGAATCGGCGGTTCAAATCGGAACAACTATTAGCATAGTATAAAATTAAAATTACAATATTTGTAAATAGTGTATGTTCTTTTTCACATTTATTCTAATTCTCACATATAAGTATATATAATTGCGATTTAGTTTTGATTTTGAACCGCTAGTTCACTATTCCTGATCCAATTTAAACTGCTAGTTCAAATTTTCTTTTAATTTTTTTTTATTTTTAAAATAGTCTAAATTCAACAATTAATGTATTTTATTTTTTTCAGTTTGGAATATGAACCGGCCGTTTCGAAATTTGTAATCGGAACTTTTCCTTTGGTTGCGGTAGTTTCTGTTCGGTTTAAACCAAATCGTGGTCATAATTTGGTGGAGAAGAAAAATAAATGTTATTTATTTATTTTAGGGGTAAATATGTCCATTTAACATATCGGGAGAAATTGCCACTTGAATAATTCAGGAGAAAAAATTAATAAGTATCTAACTCAGAGAAAAAAAGTGTTATTTTCTCTAATTTTCAAGTATTTAAACATCCAATAATGGAATGACACATAGGTGGCAACATTCTTACTCAATCACAAAGATATTTTTTGTCAAAAAAAATTGTATTGTACAACTCATTTATAATATAATGTATATATATATATATATATATATATATATATATATATATATATAAACTTTGTCAAAAAAAATTGTATTGTACAACTCATTTATAATATAATGTATATATATATATATATATATATATATATATATATATATATATATAAAGACACATTATAACCCTACATGACAAAGGACCATAAAGACGTAGGTACCAGCTCAAACCAAGAAGGTCAATAAGTTGTTCTCACTTATTTTATCAATGTGAGACTCTTAATAGACTGCATTCATGTTTCCAACAAGTTTTTGACAATGCAACACTTTCCCAAGAAGAATTTTAAGTGCATGGCTGCAATTACATGACAAATGATATACATACTTCCATGGAACTTCAAGACAGTTTAGAATACAATATCTCTGCTCTCTAATCTGAAACAGTAAAGTTTGTTGCAAATCTCTCTCTCTCTCTCTCTCTAGTCTCTATATATATATATACCTTGAAGAGGCAAGGGTGAGGTATCTCCCAAAAACAAGCTTCACCACTTCATACAAATAATCCTCCTCATCAACCAAGCCTTAGGGTAATACTACAGGTTCTATCATCCATATATCTCTTGCATATTGATGGATCGTCCTGTCGCTGCTAAACTTGGATGATCCCGCAGTGTTCAAGATCGACATTTTGGTCCATTTCTGCATCATCCACCACCAACACATTAGATGCAAATCACAAATATAATGGTTGTTTCCATGTATTATGGATGAAAGAATGGTCATATAGTACTAAATTGAATTGTGGTCATGTTTCAGACACATTGACTAAACCCCTGGCTGAATTGTAGGCACGGGACAACTGGCCCCTAGGTTTCGCTTATCATAGATGTAACTTGATGGTGATGACAGATATATATATACCTTTTGGTCTCGATATGCCTCGTCAACCTTCTCTTGGCACTCTAAGTAACTTGGGAAGTCCTTTCCAACGAGAAAATAATCAGCACGGCCATAGCCCTCGTTTCCTTCCAAGGACCCCATCAGCTCCTCGTAGTTGTAGGGGCCAAAGACGCCTGTCCTAACAAATGCCTTCACTTCTTCAAATCTCGGGTCTGGTACAAACTGCATAGAGTTTTGAAGTCATAGATGCATTAGGTTCTTGAGTGCCTGCCCAGAATGCAGAACAGATAGGCGACTTATTCGTTCTGTGGCTAACTCACCTTTCCCTCAGCTCTTTCTTTGCGTAGACCAGCAATTTCATCAGCACGAGCACCAAAGAGAAAGAAGTTGTTTTCCCCAACCTCCTGCCTTATTTCAACATTCGCCCCATCTAATGTTCCAATCAGGATGCAGCCGTTCATGGAAAATTTCATATTGCTGGTTCCACTGGCCTCCATTCCAGCAGTGCTAGCAAATTTTGGAATGTCAGAGTGTTAGGATCAAACGCTTACCACTACGCCAAAAGCTATAACTAGTAACAAAGGTTCAATTTCGAGAGGCTGGCAAGTTGGGTGGGTGGGTGGGTGGGGGGAATTGTTGGACGGAGGCCTGAAGGGCCAAGTCCCGGTTCTTGAAAATGTGACTGTATAAAGAAATAAAGTTGTGTCTTCGTTATTAGCTATAACTTTTGACTGATTTCTAAATGAAAAAACTTTTTCAACCACTAACAACATGTTTGGTTCATGGAATGAATTTTAAGGGAATATGAATGCTATTCTATAAAGAATGGAATAGGCAAGGAATAGAACACGAATTGTATCCTATTGTTTGGTTTGCTAAACAACTCATTCCCAGGAACTAAATGCATTAACAAACAATGGAATAGACCTATCCCCAGGAATGTCATTCCATTCCAGGCTGGCCTATTCCGCAAACCAAACGTGCTGTAAGTTTAGTGAGAAGAGGGATGTGCATGTTGTATTTAGATCAAACACATACCTAATATGCTGGGACAACTCGCTCCCGGGGATTAGCACTTCCGCCACACTGACATTGTAATCTGGGACAAAGATGACCTGAAAAGAAAAGGAATACACAAAAGTTGTGAATGAATTTGTTATACTTGAATTGCAGAGGGATAGACTGTGCTAACAATGTTCTAATGGAATATGAAAGTGGATAATCTGTGGAAAATATGATGGTCAAAATGGTACCTTCAAGAGATCACCTATCTCAGGATCGTTGTTTACAGTAGCCCCAACATCAGTGATAAATTTCACAATCCTTTTAGCCTGGATGTATGTGGCAAATGCTTTTCCTCCAAATATGCAAACCCGAGGAACATATTTTTTCTTTCTCTCTTCTGCACTCATTTCCTTCATCTTTTTATACCGATAAACTATTCCCATAATATTCAAGAGCTGTCTCTTATACTCATGAATGCGCTTCACCTGGAAGAAAGATAGTTTGGTCATGTTTGTGCATCTGGAACAATAGAGAAAGGGTAAAGCAACAGTTGATCAAGCGCTTACCAGTACGCCAAAAGCTATAGCTAGTAGCGAAAACGCTTATACTGCCATATTTTCGAGTGGCAGGGTGTTGGACTTGGCCCTTCATGCCTCCGCCCAACAATCCCCTAGCCACCTGGTGGTGGACTTGGCCCTTTACTGGCCTCCGCCCAACAGATTCATTTGTCTCCTTATACCAAATGAAATATTTCTGGTAAATAGAAAATCACCTGCACATCGAACATGGCATCAGGGCTGACAAGATATCCAGTTTTTTCTTTAAGGAAGGACACTATCTTCATCTTGTTCCTTAGTTTTGCCTCCCTCCACTGAGACTGGAGCTCTTCATTATTGGCAAACTATTGGCAAAGCAAGAACATGATTTTTAAAGTTTATGGATTTTTGTTTTGATGCAAAGAGAGGTAAAATATCAAGCAAGTAAATGATCCCCCTGACCTAAATGTTTCACCTGTTAAAAGTAGACATTTCTTATCAAGGAAATCAACCATGCTTTAAATTTTTATTTTTAAATAATACTCTGCATTGCTACTTAAGTACTTATAAATTGAACATATCCAAATTTCTACCTTTTGAAGTTCTGCCAACTTTTCGGTGTTTATCAACCAATCTTCAGATCCAGTCCAACTCGTTATTATTTCACTCAACTCTGGGTTACAAAAGCCAATCCATCTTCTTGGGGTTACTCCATTTGTTTTATTTTGAAATTTCTCTGGCCACAGCTGCCAACAACCAAGGAGTTTTTAGAGTAGTGGAAGTTCCTTCCACAACCTTAATTAACACTCAAAATGATGAATTCATTTCTTGCCCCAAAAGGTTAAATCCCCAACCCCAGCCCAACAGAGTATCTGGGAGGAGATAAATCACGGTAACTCAGTGGTTCAGCAAACAGGACTAAATGTCGGTGCGCACAAGGGATCTACCCACTTTGGGCATAATCCCTACACTGTCGTTGCCAAGTTTCAAACCTTGGTTTCTTGCCCCAAACACTGCCTACTGAACCAGTGAGCTAAGCCCGTGCGGGCATGATGGATTCATTTCTAAAGTCAAGAGATGAAGGAGAGAAAAACAGGCAGACTAACTAAGCCAATTACCTCATAAAATTCATTAAAGACTTCCTTTTTCACTATTTCACTATGAATCTCAGCAACACCATTCACTGTATGTCCACTAACCACACATAGATTAGCCATACGGACCATCTTTGGCCTCTTTTGATCTGGTTCAAATTTCGCCTTTATCTTTGTTCCAGGATCCTCTACTTTCTCAGCTTCAGTTTCTTCATCATTCTCATCTACAGCACTGGTCTCGGCTGATTCATCTTTCGATTCATCCTTAATTTCTTCTTCTTCTTCAACTGTATCAACAATGCTTTCCTGTGTCTCAAGAAGCAACTCCATTACTGTACCAGGCAATTCAACATTTTCTAGAATTCTCATCCGGTTCAACTTCTCTTGCAACAACTCAAGATCTGCAGTACCATATTCAGCAACGATAGTATTGACGAACTGCAACATGTTTCTATTGAATCAGTACATAAATAGGTATCAAAAAGGACAATTATGGGGGATGGAGTGGTTTCAATTATGGCCATGTCACCTCCTCATCTATCATCTTTATGATCTCCACATGCCTAGGAAGTAGTTCCTGCAAAAGTTCCAAACTCCATTTTTCCAGAGCCTCTGGCAAGACAGTGTGGTTGGTGTATGCCACGGTCCTGGAAAGTAATCAAAATCCCAGAGAATAGCATTATTGGAACTGTTTCATAGCATCTAGTTGCAGCTACAAGAAAGCAAGTGAATAAATCTCTTAATAAATTAAGTTAAAACCGATGGCAGTGCTTGGCCTTTTAGATTGCTGTGTTAGCCCGTGTATACTCCAGATCTCAGAGTCTGTGTTGGGCGGAGGCAGGTGAAGGGTCAAGTCCAGCATCAGGTGGCTAGCGGGATTATTGGGTGGAGGCCTGAAGGGCCAAGTCCAGCACCCTACTTTTGAAAAACGTGACAGTATAAGGAAATAAAGTTGCGTCTTTGCTACTAGCTATAGCTTTTGGCGTAGTGGTAAGCGCTTGATCCTAACAAGTAGTATTAGAGCCAGGTCAGGGGTTTGGGGAAATTGTTGGGCGAAGGTCTGAGGGGCCAAGTCCAGCACCATGCTTCTTGAAAATGTGGTGGTATAAGGAAATAGTTATGTACCTTTGAGTGATTTCCCAAGCATTTTTCCAGCTTAAACCTTTCACATCAATCAAAATCCTTAATAATTCTGGTATGCATAGTGTCGGGTGAGTATCATTCATCTGTACCGCAACCTTGTGAGGGAATTCATCCCAGTTCGCTTCCGCTCCTGATCTCTTCTCAAACCGTGCAATAATGTCCTGAAGGGAAGCAGAACATAGTGTGTATTGCTGCTTCAATCTCAACGTCTTCCCCTCTAGCGACTCATCACCAGGGTACAAAATATAGCAAATCTGTGGCATTGGTGATGAGTTAGTAAAAATGGGTTGTGAAGCAAGCCGGCATATAACAACTTTTCTTCGTGCACTCACACAATATTATCTATTAGAAAAAAATGACAAGATATGCCAACTAACAACTGAATAAGTACAGTTATGATTATGAACAGATACTACATTGTAACAGAGTGTAGTACTAAAAAAAAAAAGTACAGTTATGATTAACAGCTAACGAAAACAGACCTTTTCAGCCCTCTTAAGGGCCTCATATGCTTTGGGGTGGTCTCCAGTATTAAAAGCTTGTAAATCAAAAGCTTCTGCAGCAACTTTTGTTGACCATAAACGAAGGTTAAGAGTGGTTTTGGTTTTGTATCCCGGGATCGGGACATCATAGGCAACCGCTATTACATCTTCTCCTCCAACCCATTCCTTCCTTCCATCAGCACCTTCAATCACTTCCCCGTAGAATTTCACAGGATATGAGATATCGTTTCTAGCAATCTCCCAAGGGTTGCCCATCTGATACAACATTGATTCTATGAATAGATAGAATAACAAGGATATCTCCATTCTCCCAATGCTATTGATATAGAAGAAAACATTGATAAAGTATTTTTATGCGAGTAAATAAAGTCTACATAAGCAGCAAAAAACTCATAAATGTCATACCTCAAGCCAATTTTCAGCAACTTCCTCCTGACCATCTTTCGTTATAAGCTGTTTGAAAAGGCCGTATTTGTATCTAAGTCCATAACCCCATGCAGGGTAATTAAGTGTAGCCATTGAATCTAAGAAGCATGAGGCAAGCCGTCCTAATCCTCCATTCCCTAAAGCGGCATCTGGTTCCTGTCAGTCATCAAGTAAACAACTCAAGGGAAATTCTTCATATCTCCACAGCTGAAGAGGACGTGCTGAGGATCTATCTGAAAGTTATGATAAAATACAAACTGGAAGAGCCTCAATGTAAGGATCATCAAAGCCATTATTACAACTATAATGCCATGACTGCCCGAAGTTATTGTTGGGCAGAGGCTAGAGAAGGGCCAAGTCCAGCACCCTGCCTCTCGAAAATATGGCAGTATAAGGAAATAAAATTGTGTCTTGGCTAGGCACTTGATCCTAACAAGTCGTATAAGAGCCAAGTCACAATTCGAGTCCCAACTAGTGTAAAAACTGTGTAGGCTGGCGGGTGCAAGTCCAGCACCAGGCCGGTCCTAACAGTTATCATGAAACTAGAGGATGATGGCAGAAAGTACATAATTTTAATGCACAAGATTGAATCAACAATATTAAAGAAACAATAGCATCTCACAAGGAAGGGTGAAAGGATGAATTTAGAGTATATATATTCCCATTAATGAATGCCAGTGTTGCAAAAGACCCAACCTGCTTAGCTACATCCTCTAGGTTGTGCCCGAGCTTTTTTAAAGCCTCTGCATAAGCTCCTGTTAGCTCCAAGTTACCAATTGCATTGAGCAGTGCTCTACCCTGCATGTTGAGCACATATATAATATATAAACATAAATGTGCAGTCCAACTATCAGTTTAAACTTTTAATTGAGATAGAACATATGCTTTAATTAGACCAACCTGGAGAAATTCCATAGAAAGATAATAAGCCTGTTTTACATTCATCTTCTCATAATAATCATATGTAGCATTCCAATTTATAATGAGCATATCACGAACACTCCCTGCTGTTGCATTGAATGCCTTTGGAAGCTCAAACCGCTCGGGAGAAAATGATGGCGTGAACTCTGCATGGTATTTTATACTTGATGCAAGAGATGCTGAATCTGGTTGAAAAGCATCCAATGCCAGCCCTGAAAGTACAAAATCAAATTCTTTAACTTTGGTTGAGAACTTAAATGTATATTCTTTCTTTCTCTTCTAGTAGACCTCAAGGACCCTGCATCTCAATTCAGCTCTGAATAAATAGCAGGCCAAATTCATGGAAAAAGAACTCTAATTCCTTGAAACTTTTTAAATGAACAAGTGAAGGATAGCATAATGTTGGGCGAAGGCCAGTGAAGGACCAAGTCTAGCACTAAGTGATCAGAGAATTGTTGGACGGAGACCTGAAGGCCAAATCCAACACCATGCCTCTAAACAAAAGTTTGCATATTCGCTATTTGACATAGTAGTAAGCATTTGATCTTAACAAGTGGTATAACTGTCTGTTAAGACTGACAGGTGCCGGGGGAATTGTTGGGCAGAGGCTCGTGAAGGGCCAAGTCAAGGCCTGAAAGGCCAAGAGCTATAGTTTTAGCCTAGTGAAAAGCATATGATGTGTAAAAACTACAGTTTTTAACAGAAGAGAAGTATGAAAAAAATGAAATTTCTTGAAACTAGAAAGGGATTTGAACGCTGCATTAAAGGAATAGCCAATTTTAAACCCAAAGAAAAAGAACAAAACCTTCGTTATCAGATGAATAATCTTTAACTCTTTGTTGATGATCACTAGCAACATTGCTGATAAGTAGATTTCTTCTTCGCCAATGAATCAAATGGAACCCACCCCTCCTTTTATTGGAGAAAAAGTTTGGGTTTTCACCCCTGAAGCCATTGAAACCAAGAATGGTGCTTGTAATGGAGCTTGAATGTGAAATTGAGTTCACCCCAACCCAAGAAAATGCTGGAGCCGCCATTATGAACTATGTTCAGAATAGATTCAAGAAGCTATATTTATATATGATATGTATTCTGATTGGAGTAATGATTGAGAGCAGAGAAGAGTGGGGAGGGGGGGTTAGGGATGGTTTTAGCTTCTTATCTGTGAGTGGTGGTATATATGAGTGGCTATTTTGCATGTTGAAAATGAGCCAATTGATATTTGTCTTTACGGTATGGACAACTGCAAATTAAGTAATGGTCTTTCAGATATTTTCTTTTTCTTGCAACTTTTACCGTCGTTATATTATAGACCGCGGTGCATGTGCACTGCGGTAAAAAACGGCGCCGTTTCTTTAAGTAAAGAAACGGCCCGCCGTTAGAGTTAACGGAGTCCGCTTGTTTGGTGTATTAAACACCAACTGATACTATAGTATATCTAAACCGACACTGCAGTTATATCAAAATGATACTGTAGTTATAGTGAAATGAAACTGCAGTGTATATAAAATGAAACTGAATAACATTTCACATATTTGAGTGTATATTGTACAATGAAGCTGTAATTATATCAAAATGATCATGTAGTTGTGTTTTAATGAAACTATAGTGTATATAAAATAAAATTAAATAACATTTTCACATATTTGAGTCTATAAATATCGAATGAAACTATAGTTATATCGAAATGAAACTGTAGTTGTGTTGAACTGAAACTGCAGTGTATACAAAATGACACTGAATAACAGAGTTACTTTTTGCAAAAGGATGTGAAACGGCAGAAACAAACACGGTTTATTTTCATTTAAAAAAAAAAAGACGCGCGGTGCATAATCGATTATGCACCGCGGTGCATAATATAATTTGCCCAACTTTTAGGACCCATGTATATTTTGCACCGTTCCAAAAATTGGCCTAGGCCCTAGGCCCTCTAGGCCGTAACGCTTTTCTCTTAGGCGGTCGTCCGGGCAGTCGGTGGCAATTTATATCCTACACCACAGCGCGCGTTGCACTGTGCGCCCAAATGCAAAACGACGTCGTTTTAATTTTTTTTTTTTTGAAATTTTCCGCCCCAGTGAATGGCAGTTATTTTTTCTTTAAAAAAAATTCCTGTTCAAAAATGTACATAATGTTATACTAGAATACACATAATTGTATACATGAATGTACATAATTATATAACAAAATATACATACTCTTTTTAAAAGATAATACACATAATCTAACATAATACATAATAAACATAAATTTTTAACATAATACACATCAACTCTTAACATAATACACACAAATTTTCTGATTCGGATGTACATAATTGTATAAAAAGAATGTACATAATTGTATAAAAAATGTACGTAACTGTATGAACAAATATACATAACTGTATGAACAAATATACATAATTGTGTGAACAAATATACATAATCATAGCAACTTCCTATCGCGCCTCTCAAAACGACCCCAAAACGACGTCGTTTTGGGAGGCGCGCGGCGCACAGTGCTACGCGCGTCGTGGTGTAGGGTATAACGATTGGCAGTCGGTCACTTATGTGCCGATTGATTCAGTCGAGTTAATTCGTCTAATTCGATCGAGTTAGTCGAGTTAACTCGGTCGATTCAGTGTTGTTAATTTTTTTCAATATATATATGACATACACTAACACATGTGCACTATTTTTTTTAGTTAGCTACTTAGGCCATCTAAGTGTTAGGCGCCACTATATCGTCCGACTAGCGCCTAACACCTACTGCAACCATGATATTTTGTTATTTTGTATTAGCATTGTCCTGAAAATTTCTTATGCATTTGTAGCTTTTTGTCTAAATACTGTATCCTAAAATTTGCTAGTACAAGTTACTAGCAAATTTTTTAGGTTGATCTATCCCAAGTCCTTCTTTGTTATTTTGCATATTTATTTATGTTGATTGCTATCCTCCAACTTTAAATTATTGCTTAGCTTCCACCGATTTCCCTATCCTCGTGTCTAGAATTCTAGATACTTTTTGAGATCATGCTTAAACGCCATTCCAATGAACGATAAAAACAAAATTCTTTGTTTGATTTTCACCCGGATCAATGCTCCAAAGATAACTTTCTTTTCATTGAATTTGAGAATATCTTGAAACAATAATCCTTGATCGAATTTCTTAAGGAGATTCGTATAAGCTAAGAGCTGAGAGAGCAAAGTATGAAAGAGAGATTGAGAAAATGTTCTAAAGACATTTTTACCAAAATTAGTCATTTTTTCTTCGATTATATTGTGAAATTTCTATTAACTCTATTCTCTATATGGTGAACTAAACAGTGAAAATTTTGAAAAATACTCCTAAATCTAATGTATATATCAAGAGGTTTTTTTTTTTTTTTTTTTTTTTTTTTTTTTTTTTTTTTTTTCAGTTTCTTGAAACAATTTCCATTAACATAAATAATTATGTGCTTTGAAGTTATAAATTTTCTTTTTGAATTGATCTAGTTTTTAAAAATTACTTTCGCATTAATCTTTTTGAAATGGATGCAAATATGCATCTAAACGTATATAATACTTTGAATATCAACTTTTCCCCCCTAGACACAAATATCTCCCCTCCAACGTAAAGGATGGCCGTGGTTTGATTCACTAGGTACTAGCCTCTTTACTACTCAATACTTTAAATCAATATCCTCTAAAGTTGATGACGGTGGTTGACCAGGATCTGGACCTGTAGGGACCAATCTTTTCATAGCTCCATATTTAAAATTAAAATTATTTGTTGAAATTGATGATGGTGGTTGGCCAGGATTTGGACCTGTAGGAACTAATCTCTTCATCGCTCCATATCTCGTATCAAAATCATCTGTTGAAATTGATGATGGTGGTTGACCAGGATCTGGACCTGTAGGGACCAATCTTTTCATAGCTTCATATGTCATATCAAAATTATGTGTTGAAATTGATGATGGTGGTTGGCTAGGATTTAGACCCGTAGGAACCAATCTCTTCATTGAAATTGATGATGGTGGTTGTCCAGGATCTGGACATGTAGGGACCAATCTCTTCATGGTTCCATATCTCATATTAAAATTATTTGTTGAAATTGGTGATGGTGGTTGGCCAGGATTGGGACCCGTAGGAACCAATCTCTTCATCCCTTCATATCTCGTATCAAAATCATTTGTTGAAATTGATGAGCGTGGTTCGATAGGGATTGGACCCTTAGCTAGGAACCAATCTCTTCACCTCCCCATATCTCATATCGAAATCATTTGTTGAAATTGATGATGATGGTGTGTAGCTGTGAAGCCTTTTCGAAAAGATCATCTAGACTTCAAGTCTTCACAACACAAGGAAATATTGCAACTTATATTTGAAGGTTCAAGCATCATCAAGACAAGATTTCACAAGTTGGAGAATATCATTATTTCTTTCCAACCATCAACTCTGAAGAAGACGTTGATAGAGGCGGAGTAAACTCTAGGAGTTGAAAAACCTACGCAAGTAGCTGTCCAGCTTAGTGATCAAGGAAGCTAGCTTGTTTAGTTTGTACTATGAGTGATAGTGCAAACCCTTTCACAAGTTTGAAAGAAGAGTGGAGTAGGCTTCGTTAATAGCCGAACCACTATAAAAATCTATCTCTCACTCTTTCTTTACTTTCGGCTATTTATCTGCCTTGCATCGCATTCATACTAATCAAACCCTAATTTTCATAACGAAAGTGTGCAAAGAATATTCTAAAACGAACTCACATATTTTCTGCTGTGCATTACTCCCCGAGAGCTGTTTTCGAAAAATTGAGTAGAGTCTATTCACCCCCCCCCCCCCCTCTCTCTCTAGACTCTCTTTCGACCCTTCCGGGGTCAACAAGTGGTATCAGAGCGGTTACCATGATCGGTAAGCGCCTTGTGCATACTGCCTGGTAGATCCCTTTTCAACAAAAAAAGATCCTTAAAAATTCTCAATTTTCTCTTTGCACATTTTTTAAAAAAAAAATGGAAAAGGATAATGGTAATAGATCTAGACCTCTTGCTTTTAACTTATCCAAGTTTGATGAGTGGAAAGTAAGAATGCAGGCACATCTTTCGGCCATCCATGACGAGATGTGGGATGTCATCGAAGATGGACCTATCGTGATAACAATGGTGAACACACAAGCAGCAGTTCAAGGAGCAGATCCCGAAGTGATGATTCTGAAACCCAAGTCTCAACTCACCTCGGAAGAGAAAACATGAGCAAACCTTGATAATGTTGCACAAGACATCTTATACAAGTCTCATGATGATTCGCTGTTCCCAAGAGTACGAAAGTGCAAAACGACAAAAGAGATGTGGGATACCCTCATGAACCTAGGCGAGGGAGATGAACAAGAAAAAGATAACAAGCTCACCATGACCATGAAAATATTTGAAGACTTCAAGATGATCCCAAATGAGACAATCACCGAAATGGAGTTTCGGTTTATGAAGCTTCTTGGAGAAATTTCAGATCTTGGGAAAGAACCAACTCAGAAGGAGATCAACTTGAAGATCCTTCGTGGTCTACCGAAAGCTTGGGACATGAAAGTAACAGCAATGAGAGATCTTAAAGTTGTTCAAACTACTCAAATCTTCAGTGATCTAAAAGCATATGAATTTGAGCACGAACCCAAGAGCAGTGAGGAACCAGAAATCAGAAACATCGCTCTATCAGTAAGTCAGCAACCTTCAACATCTAGCAGGTCGAATTCTAATCCCTCTGATTTCTTAACTGATGATCAGTTTGCTTTGTTTGTACAAAAATTTAAAAGGTTCATGCGAAAGAACAACTTTCAAGAATCCCAAACAACCCCCAACTCAAGTCGAAAGTACTCAGAAGGAACATCTTATCCCAAGAGACAAGAGTCGAAGGAAGCTCAAGTGCTATGCTACAACTGTAGAAAGCCAGGACATTTTAAGGCAAACTGTTCTCATCCTATATATGATTCTAAGATATTTCTCACAACATCCTTTTAAAATATACCAATCATAAATATATTTCAATCACCATTGTAGAAAGGGGCAGAGCTATAATGGGGGCAATAATCGCCCCCTCCCCCACCCCCCTATATAGTACCCCATTGTCTGTATACCAATCATAAATATATTTCAATCACCATTGTAGAAAGGGGCAGAGCTATAATGGGGGCAATAATCGCCCCCTCCCCCACCCCCCTATATAGTACCCCATTGTCTATATATATATATATATATATATATATATATATATATATATATATATATATATATATATATATATATATATATATATATATGTATGTATAGAATATAGTACGTGATTAGAGATAAATAAATCTACAAATCTAATAAGAGCCAATAAAGTTATTAGGCCCTTAACATGAACAAAAAAGTGTTGGTGTAATTGTTTCTTGAAATAAATGGTTCATATTATTTTGATTTTAGTATTTTTTTTTTCCATTTATGGTATAATAAACGATCGTTTTACAAGATCATGCCTAAACGCTATCCTAACAAACGATAAAAATAAAATGCTTAATTCGATTTTCACTCGAATCAATGCTCCAAAGGTAACTTCTTTTTGTTTTTTTTTCATTGAATTTGAGAACAAGTTTAGATAATAATTCTTGATTGAATTTCCTAAGGAGATTCGTATAAGAGAGAACCAAGTATGAAAGAGAGATACAAAAAATGTCCTAAAGACATTTTTACCAAAATTAGTCATTTTTTCTTTGATTAAAATGTGAATTTTCTATTAACTCTATTCTCTATGGTGAACTAAACATTGAAAAGTTTGAAAAATGACTCCTAAATCTAATATATATATCAAGAAGTTGTTGTTGTTGTATTTTTTTTTTTTTTTGTTTTGTTTTGTTCTGTTTTTTTTTTTTTTTTTTTTTTTTTTTTTTTTTTTTTTTGTTGTTTTTTTTTTTTTTTTTCAGTTTCTTGAAACAATTTCCATTAACATAAATAATTATGTGCTTTGAAGTTATAAATTTTCATTTTGAATTGATCTAGTTTTTAAAAATTATTTTCGCATTAATCTTTTTCAGTATAGTCAACTTTGTTGTATTGCAAAAAAAAAAAAATATTAATCTTTGTGGCAAGATGCATATTTTCGCTAGTATAACTAATAATAGTTTTAACATTTTTCCATCACAAGCCTTAATTAAAATCAAACATTATTATTATTCTCATCAAATCAAGAAAGCATTGAAATGGATGCAAATATGCATCTAAACGTATATAGGGCTTTGAATATCAATTTTTCCCCTTAAACATAAATATCACCCCTCCAACGTAAAGGATGGTCGTGGTTTGATTCACAAGGTACTAGCGTCTTTACTACTCAATACTTTAAATCAATATCCTCTAAAGTTGATGATGGTCGTTGACCAGGATCTGGACCTGTAGGAACCAATCTCTTCATAACTCCATATCTCATATCAAAATCATTTGTTGAAATTGTTAATGGTGGTTGACCAGGATCTGGACCTGTAGGGACCAATCTTTTCATAGATCCATATGTCATATCAAAATTTTTTGTTGAAATTGATGATGGTGGTTGGCCAGGATTTGGACCCGTAAGAACCAATCTATTCATTGAAATTGATAATGGTGGTTGGCCAGGATTTGGACCCGCAGGAACCAATCTCTTCATTGAAATTGATGATGATGGTTTGCTAGGATTTGGACCCGTAGGAACCAATCTCTTCATCGCTCCATATCTCGTATCAAAATCAGCCATTGAAATTGATGATGGTGGTTGACCAGGATCTGGACCTGTAGGGACCAATCTTTTCATAGCTCCATATGTCATATCAAAATTATGTGTTGAAATTGATGGTGGTGGTTGGCCAGGATTTGGACCCGTAGGAACCAATCTCTTCATTGAAATTGATGATGGTGGTTGACCAGGCTCTAGATCTGTAGGGACCAATCTCTTCATGGCTCCATATCTCATATCAAAATTATTTGTTGAAATTGATGATAGTGGTTGGCCAGGATTTGGACCCGTAGGAACCAAAATCTTGATTGAAATTGATGATGGTGGTTGACCAGGATCTGGACCTGTCGGGACTAATCTCTTTATGGCTCCATATCTCATATAATAATTATTTGTTGAAATTGATGGTGGTGGTTGGCCAGGATTTGGACCCATAGGAACCAATCTCTTCATTGAAATTGATGATGGTGGTTGACCAGGATCTGGACCTGTTGGGACCAATCTCTTCATGGCTCCATATCTCATATAAAAATTATTTGTTGAAATTGATGATGGTGGTTGGCCAGGATCTGGACCAGTAGGGACTAATCTCTTCATCCAAATTGATGATGGTGGTTGACCAGGATCTGGACTTGTAGGGACCAATCTCTTCATAGCTCCATATCTCATATTAAAATCATTATAATGTTGATTTTGGTTTGTAGGTGATGATGAAATGAGTACGTACAAATAGGAGAGAGAATGCAAACAAATGAAGTTGATGATATTCAGACTTCATTCTTGAAAATCAAGAGCTAGATATTTTCACGGTAGATTTTTGAAAATATAACAAAAAAAAGATTATAGATCTTGTTGTTTTATTCAACAAAATGGTGTCCTATATATACACCCACTTGAATCGTATTGACATGAATATATAGTAATTTTATGAGTTTGGTAAAATTTATTTATTTTTATTGAGTAAGTCGTATTGATATGAATATATAGTAATTTTACGAGTTTTGTAAGATATTATTTTTTTTTTATCGAGTAAATCATTTTGACATGAATATATAATAATTTTATGAATTTGGTCAGATGTATTTACTTTCTTGAGTAGAGCTGTATAAAGGAATTATAATTAATATTGATGAAAATGACAAATTGAAATCGAATAATAAATATTACTTTATATAAGATTCTAAGATATTTCTCACAACATCCTTTTAGAATATAACAATCATAAATATATTTCAATCACCATTGTAGAAAGGGGCGAAGCTATATTGGGGGTAATAATCTCCCCCCCCCCCCCCCTCCCTATATAGTACCCCATTGTGTGTATATATATGTATTGAGTATAGTACGTGATTAGAGATAAATAAATCTACAAATCTAATAAGAGTAAATAATGTTAGGCCCTTAACAAGAATAAAAAAATGTTGGTGTAACTGATTCTTGAAATAAATAGTTCATATTATTTTGATTTTAGTATTTTTTTATGATTTTCCTCATTTACCCTATGTTATATTATTTTCTTAGCTTAAATAACCTACATTCCTTTAGTATAAACTTTAGTAACGGAATATTACATTAACTATTTATTATTCTTAACTTTTTTTTTTTTTTTGAATGCTACTAGCTCTATTACATTGTAGTATCTGTTCATATACTTTCTCAACCTACTGAAACACAAAGAGCCAATAACGCCTCCACTGAGGCTCGAACTTACAACCTTCCAAATGGAAGTCCAACCCGGATACCATTATTCTTAACTTACTTATTAATTTATATAAGATTTGTCTTAGATTCGAACCTCATTCCAATCAGAGTTGACATAATGGTTAAACATATTCTTCGAATATATATGTTAAAATGTAGGGGAAAAAAATGCAATATAAAATTTAACATAAACTTTGATCAAATAATTAACCCGACTAAATACATAGCAATCAAAGTTGAGCGTCAAAGATTATAAATCAATAACTTTGAAAATCATTTTCTTTCAATTTTTTTTTTAAAAAAAAATTATGGTAAGTTTTTTTTTTTTTTTTTTTTTTTTGGGTTAAATAATCTTCTTTTGATTATTTATAACAAAATTCAATATTTCAACTATGATTTTGTATTATTTGAATGATTTAGGTCTCCAACACTCTAATAATTTTTATTTTTATAAAAACAATGAGATTGTGTAGACAGGTTCAACAATCCCGTTTGTTAGTCCCGTTACTCTCAATATCTCTTTACAGTACAAGACAATAGGGTGCTTGAGCCCATTGACAGAGCTTATAAGCCCGTTGCCTAGTACCGTGAAGGTAATTACCAACGGGACATGTGATTACTGATTATTAGTCTTCACATTATTATTATTATTATTATTATTATTATTATTATTATTATTATTATTATTGGTTAAACTAATATAATATATAGTGATCAGTATGTCATGTGCAAGGCTCGCTACGTTCCTTGGCAGTTTACCTTTCATTTTATCGCTATTTATGCGAAACACACTAGAGCAGACAGATCCCAGTTATGGACACAACTTTCAGATTGTATAGATGATAATAGACCACTACTTCTGGCAGGAGACTTTAATGTAATTTCAAGCATCTCAGAGCATAGAGGCAATGCTCTTCCGGATGTCAATTGCATTTTTGATTTTTCCAACTTCATTACCGATAATTCGCTTATTGATCTGGCTACAATAGGCAGCTTATACACATGGCATGGCATCCGTAATACAGGTGCTGTCTGGAAACGGCTGGATCGTTTCCTGATGAATCCACCTCTAAGAGATTACTTTACGGAGGTTCGAATAAATGTCTTAGCCAGGACGTCTTCAGATCATTCCCCGATCCTCCAAAGCGGGACTAATAACACTTTGTCATGCCCAAAACAGTTCCGTTTTCAAACAATGTGGACTTCCCATCCAGATTTCATCAATGTTGTTAGACTAAATTGGAACCAGCAGGCTGATGGAGGAGGAATGCGGGCTCTGGCTTTTAAAATAAAGCGCCTCAAACGTTGCCTCCGAATTTGGAATAGAGATACTTTCGGGAACGTATTTGATCGTATTCGAGTCCTGGAATCTAGTGTGGCAGAAGCAGAGAACACCTTTGATGATGATCCTTCACCAGGTAGTCGGGAATCACTTCATAAACTCCAGGCTGATCTCCTACAAGCTCTCAAACAGGAGGAAATGTTTTGGAAGCAAAAGGCTAGAGTGAAATGGCTAAAAGAGGGAGATTCCAACACCCGATTTTTTCACGCTGTGGTTAAGGACAGGCATCAGAGACAGAGAATAAGTGCTATCAAATCAGGTACGGGGGAGCTGCTCACAACTCAACCGGCTATTCAGACGGAAGAGGTATCCTTCTTTTCTGGTTTATTTTCAGCAGAGGACTGCCCAGGAATGGAGGCTTTACTTCAGTGCCTACCGGTGGGCGTGCTTGACTCAGATAAAGCCGCCTTATCTCTGCCCGTCACGAGAGAAGAGGTTAAAGAGGCAGTCTGGAAACTAGATCCGGACAGTGCAGCTGGCCCAGATGGTTTTTCGGGCGCCTTCTTCCGTCATTGCTGGGACATTATTAAAGATGATCTTTACATGGCAACCTTAGACTTCTTTGCTGGTGTACCCGTTCCCCGTGCTATGGCAAGCGCTCAAATAGTGTTGATTCCCAAAAAATTGAACCTGGACACATTCGCGGATTACAGACCAATATGCCTTTTCACTTTTGTCAGCAAGGTCTTTACAAGAATAATAGCCTCTCGGCTAAGTACAATCCTACCCAAAATCATCTCAAGGGAGCAAGCTGGTTTTTTGCAGGCAGAAGCATTCAAGATAATGTTTTATTGGCTTTTGAACTGCTACAACATATAAATAAATGGTGTCGGGGTGCGAACGTTGTTGTTAAACTAGACATGATGAAGGCATTTGATCGAGTCGCCTGGCCCTTCCTCCGAGCGGTTCTGGATAGATTGGGTTTCCCGGTGTCTTTCATCAACTTAATTATGAACAACCTGGAGGCGACGAGACTCTCTGTTCTGATTAACGGAGTAAGCTGTGGCTTTTTCCAACCGACGAGGGGGGTCAAGCAAGGGGATCCTCTCTCGCCCCTCCTCTTCATTCTTGCCTCGGAAGCTCTCTCTCGCTCTCTCATCTTAAAAATGGGTACGGGAGGTTTGTCTCCTTACTCATCGAGGATAAATTGCCCTATTGTTACTCACTTGGCATTCGCAGACGACATAGTCATTTTTGTCAATGGCTCGTCTGGTTCCCTAAAAGCTTTGTCGGAGGTTCTGCAGCTCTATCAAGACGGTTCCAGACAAAAAATTAACTATAGCAAGAGTTTCTTCGTCACCTCAAAACATTGCCCAAGCGGCAGGGTTGCGGCTATGTCTCGAATACTGGCAATGCAATGCACCACTTTACCATTCCGTTATCTGGGGGTCAACATGTTCACGGGCAGAAATAGAACACACTATTACCAGCATCTTCTGGAGAAGATTGACAATAAATTACTCGGTTGGCAGAGAAAACTGCTATCCCAAGGAGGCAGATTAACACTCTGTTAAACCATAATATTTTTTGTGGTCCAAATTCAATAAGACAATGTCTCTTACACATTCTCTCCAAGTTTGCGGTGCTCGATTTGTTTGTCGCATGATATGCTTGTTCTTAGTGTATAAATAGTTTGTCCATTTTGATTTGTAAAACACTCCTATTAAATTGCTCATTCTTACATCAAATTCTTTCTCTTTCTTTTGTCCCTACGTTGACATACATACATATATATATATATATATATATATATATATATATATATATATATATATATTTACTCTAGTGATAATATATATATTTCCCTTTATTCCTAATTATTTTGTCTTTTAATATACTTTCCCTTTTATTCAACTTCTATAATTCTCAATTTTCGATTCTTCGCTTCCGCATTATTCCGCTATATTCCTAACAAGTGGTATCAGAGCGGTTTAATTGAGAGTTATTTTTCAAAGATGTCGACTGTTACCAAGTTCGATATCGAGAAGTTCGACGGGAAAATTAGCTTTTCTATCTGGAAGGTTCAGATGGAAGCCGTTCTAACCCAGAACGGTTTGAAGAAAGCGCTAGCTGGGAAGAAGAAGAAACCGGCTGCAATGACAGATGAAGATTGGGAAGATTTGGATGACAAAGCACGTTCAACCATTCAGTTGTGTCTGTCTAAAGAGGTTCTACGTGAGGTGGTGAGTGAGAAGACTACGTCAGATTTATGGTCTGAGCTGGAGTCGCTTTATATGGCCAAATCTCTGGCGAACAAGCTGCGCCTGAAGGAGCGTCTGTACACAATCTGTATGACGGAAGGTACTTCGATTAAATCTCATTTGGATGAATTTAATTCTATTTTATTGGACTTGGAAAATATTGATGTCGTAATTGACGATGAGGATCGTGCTGTTTTATTGCTTGTCTCTCTCCCTAAATCGTACAAGCATTTCAAAGAAATTATGCTGTATGGTAATAGTAGTGATACCCTTACTTTTGACAATGTTAAGTCAAACCTATTGTCCAAAGAAAAGTTTGACTTTGAAATTAAGTCTGAGGACAAAGGTGAAGGCTTGACTGTAAGGGGTCGTTTACTTGAAACAGAGAGTAGCAATAAAAAATCTAGATCCAAGTCCAAAGGACGTAAGTCCAACAAATCCTGTAAGTACTGCAAGAAGCAGGGTCACGATGTGACTGAATGCTTCAAGTTGAAAAACAAGCAAGAGAGAGAAAAGAAGTATGCTGAAGCTAGTGTTGTTGAAAGTGATTTAGAAGGCGATGTTATGTTATCTGTTAGCTCCGGTGACAAACGGAGCAAGACTGAGTGGATTTTGGACTCTGGTTGTACGTTCCACATGTGTCCTCACAAAGACTGGTTCGTCTCTCTGGAACCAGTTGATGGTGGAGTTGTCTTGATGGGTAATGATACCCAATGCAAGGTTAGTGGAATTGGAAGTGTTCAGATTAAAACTCATGATAATGTTGTCAGGACTCTTACCAATGTTCGGTATATTCCTGATTTGAAACGCAATCTGATATCCTTGGGCACCTTGGAATCTCTGGGGTGCAAGTACATAGCTGAAGGTGGAGTTCTGAAAGTCATAAAAGGCTCTCTTGTTCTCATGAAAGCTTCTCGTTCTGGAAGCTTGTACGTCTTGCATGGCAGTACTGTGACAGGTTCAGTAGCGGTATCCTCATCGATGTCTGATGCGGATCTCACTCAATTATGGCATATGCGTCTGGGGCATATGAGTGAGAAAGGCATGCATCTCCTGAGCAAGAAAGGCCTCCTTGGTGATTCAGGTACGGGTAAATTACAATTTTGTGAGCATTGTGTTTTTGGGAAACAAAAGAGGGTTAGTTTCTCTACTGCTACACACCGTACCAAAGATGTATTGGAATATATACATTCCGATTTATGGGGGCCGACTAAATTCCAGTCTATGGGAGGCTGTAGATATTTCATGTCTATTATTGATGACTTTTCCCGTAAGGTTTGGGTCTATTTCTTGAAACACAAAAATCAGGCTTTTCCTATTTTCAAAAAGTGGAAAATACTTGTTGAGACTCAGACAGGGAAAAAGGTCAAGAAGCTCAGGACAGACAATGGCTTGGAATTCTGTGAGTCAGATTTCAGTGACTTCTGTGCGGCAAATGGAATCGCCAGGCACAAGACCTTGCCTGGTAAACCCCAGCAAAATGGTGTTGCCGAACGTCTAAACAGGACTCTATTGGAAAGAGCTCGTTGTATGCTCTCTAATGCTGGGTTATGGAAACGGCGTGATTTTTGGGCCGAGGCCGTTTCTACTGCTTACTATTTGGTAAATAGATCTCAACATTCATCCCTTGATTTCAAAATTCCAGAGGAAGTTTGGTCAGGTAATCCTGTTGATTACTCTATCTTAAGAGTTTTTGGATGTCCTGCTTATGCTCATTCCAGTACGGGTAAATTAAACCCGAGAGCTGTCAAATGCATTTTCCTTGGTTATGCCTCTGAGTCAAAAGGGTATCGTCTATGGTCTCCTGATTCTCAGAAAATCATTCTGAGTCGAGATATCACTTTTGACGAAAATGCACTACTTTCTTCTGGAAAAGATTCCAGTACAGGTGAGACGCAGAGTACTGGTGATAAGGTGGAGTTTGAGTTCAGGCCTAATGATAGTATTACTACCACTAATGGTAATACTAAAGATGATGCATCTACAAGTACCGCACCTCTCGTCGAGCCACAGCGAGAGTACTCTATTGCCTAAGATCGGCCTAGGAGGACAATTAAAAAACCTGCTAGGTACGCTAGTGACGATGAAACCCACTTGGTTGCCTATGCTCTTTCAGTTGCACAGGAGGTTGATGGTGATCCATCCTGCTATTCTGAAGCTATTTCTTGTGCCAACTCGTCCAAGTGGTTGGTTGCTATGCAAGAAGAGATGGAAAGTCTCCATAAGAATGAGACTTGGGAGCTGGTAGAATTGCCGAAAGGTAAACGCCCATTGAGCTGTAAATGGATTTACAAAAATAAAGAAGGCATTCCTGGGGTTGAGAAAGCACGGTGGAAGGCACGGTTAGTTGTTCAAGGTTTTGATCAACGTGAAGGTATTGACTTTAACGAGATTTTTTCTCCAGTTGTTCGTCATACTTCTATACGTGTTCTACTTGCTTTTGTTGCTCTTTTTGATTTGGAGTTGGAGCAACTTGATGTAAAAACTGCTTTCCTACATGGAGAGCTTGATGAAGAACTTTACATGTACCAACCTGAGGGATTTGAAGTTCATGGGAAGGAACATTGTGTCTGCCGTCTACAAAAATCACTTTATGGGCTAAAGCAAGCTCCAAGGCAGTGGTATAAGCGGTTTGATGCATGTATGTTGGGGCAAGGATTCTCAAGAAGTCAGTATGATAGCTGTGTCTATTTTAAAGAATTTTCTAATGGGTCTTTTGTCTATTTGCTGCTTTATGTTGATGATATGCTCATTGCTTCCCCTGATATGGCTCTGGTTGATGACTTGAAGTCTCAACTAAGCAATGAGTTTGAGATGAAAGACCTTGGTGCAGCAAAGAAGATTCTTGGCATGGAGATTCACAGGGATCGTCAAGCGGGTAAACTTTATCTATCCCAGAAAAAGTATGTTGAGAAGGTGCTTGATCGATTCAATATGTCCAATTGTAAACCTGTGTCTACTCCACTTGGTGCACATTTTAAGGTATCCTCTGGTTCATGCCCTAAGTCTGATGTTGATGTGGCTTATATGTCAAAAGTTCCTTACTCTAGTGCTGTTGGAAGTCTTATGTATGCTATGGTATGCACTAGACCTGATTTGGCTCATGCTGTAAGTGTTGTGAGTCGTTACATGCATAACCCTGGTAAGGAACATTGGAACGCCGTTAAATGGATTCTACGGTACCTAAAGGGTACTTCGTCGTTGGGCTTAGTTTTTGATCGGAATTCTTCTACATCTACTGATATTGTGGGCTTTGTAGATTCTGATTATGGTGGTGATCTTGACAGACGTCGGTCGCTTTCCAGTTATATTTTCACTCTTTGTAATTGTGCTATCAGTTGGAAAGCTACCCTTCAGTCTATTGCTGCGTTATCTACGACTGAGGCGGAATATATTGCAGCCAGAGAGGGTGTCAAAGAAGCTACTTGGCTACGAGGTTTGGTTATGGAACTTGGTGTTTCACAAGGTCAGACCGTTGTGTTCTCAGATATTCAAAGTGCTATCCATCTCACCAAAAATGATACATATCATGCCAAAACCAAACACATTGATGTCAGATACCATTTTATTCGAGATGTTATAACTGCAGGAGATATAACCGTTCAGAAGATTCATACA